TTCTCTGGAGATATTCAAGACCCCCCTGGACAGGGTCCTGTGCAGCCTGCTGTAGGTGACCCTGCTTCGGCAGGAGGGTTGGACTAGATGACCCACAGAGGTCCCTTCCAACCCCTACTATTCTGTGATTCTGCGATTCTTCCTCACAGCTCAGTTAAAATTTACTTAAGATCAAAACCATTAGTCTTATCCTTCGTACGTCAATCAATTTAATTACATTAATGTTTAACAGGTTAAAATTGTTTTTTTTCATTTTAACGTTTTAGTTACAGTACTAATCATAAATTGAAGATTAAGTTGAATTTTTAAAAAGTATCCTATTTCTTACATGTAAGAACTCTGAACACTGAACTGTGGCAGACAAAAAATATATTCATCACACTCAGAAACGTGGCTACTAAGAGACCAAATGAGGACTGTATTGCCAATTAATACAAAATATAACAGAAACAATAAAATATAATAATTTTACATTAGGGTTGCCAGGCATTTTAAGAAATGTTTTTATTTACATTTTCAGAGACATTACAACCAAGTTACACTAGATGTTCATACAATGCAGGATAAAATACTGAATGTTACATAAATACAGGAAAAGATCAAATAAGCACTAAGATATTCTGAAATCAAAACAACATTTCTCATTCAACCCACCTAGTTATGTTAAATCAAAATCTGATTTTAATCATTAAAACTGTAATTATTTCAAAAGATAATTTGATAAGAGACCTCCCTGTCACTTATCAACCATAAAACAAATAAATGAATCTATAGAACTCTCTGAAGAGTCAAAGGTAACCAAGATTCATATCTGTAAGGTAAGGCTGGTATTTCTGATCTGCTTACTCCAGGGATCCAATTCCTTAGACTGCATGAGTCATGCAGCACTGCAGCATTATTTCACTTCTTTAAAAAGTATTGAAGAAAGCCATTTAGCATATAACGCAAGTTTTCATTTTCCTTTCTATGAATGAGGGAAATATCAACAACATTCCACATGATACAGGGTAACTTCTATAGTATGAGATTCTGTTTAATTTATTTATATGAAACAGTAAAAAAAAAAATCCAAATTTCAAGTAACACAGGTAGTTGGTACAAATGATACAGAACAACAATTAGACTGAAGGATAGTGCTAGTGACTTGTGCTTAGACTGGAGGCAAGAGAATTACTCCTCAACAATCCCAAATTCAACAGAATTGAGTTGAGGTTTATACGGAGGAAAGCATGATCTGGATTTGTAGTCCTATGCAGTTCTTGGATCATTTGGTGAAGAGAAAACAATTCAAACATCTTCTTATTGCTTCTGCAAAAGATTTTATATAATTGTCAACTGAAAATTGAGAGGTTTCATCTAAACATTAAAGAGTCTACAGAAAACTATTTTTTTTAATGAAGAAAAATGGGCATTATAGTGGGAGTTTCATACAATTCTTCTACGTTGCATATAATGTCTCTAAGCAGAAGGTTATCAACGCTTGGTGAGAAAAGTCTTGGCAAAAATCACCAAAAAATATCATTTCACTTGAGTAAGTGGTATTTACATATAGTATAATGAAAGCTCAAGGAAAAGCTATAATAGGGTTTCACTCATGTGAAATAAGATTCCAGAGACAATAAATAAAAACTTTTAAATAATTAGGGTTTCTGAGCAAATTTTACTTCTAGTATATTTCCAATGTAAGTTATGATTTTTATTATTTTACAGGAAAACATTTTTTTCCTCTAGAGTTCAATTTTGTTCCTAATAAAGTCAAATGAAAACCTCAGTTTTGTCAACAACTAAGTCAAATGTAAAAAATGGCTCAGTTTAGATACCTGCTTTTATAAATGAAACAATCCCATTAAGTAATGCACCAGAGGAACTCCACAGCACATTACTACTGATATGATGAAGACCTTTGTTACAACAAACTCATAACCAGTCAGCAACAGGAACATATTTTATAAAGATTAACATTCCCAAAAGGGTTTAAATTGCCGAACACTTTAAATGTTGTTTTTGAAGGAAATGAAAAGTGATGAAACTTGAATGCAGGTCACAGATAAGGCTAAATTTTCAAAGCAGATTACGGCCAAGTACCTGAAAAACTGAAGGGTGGGGGGGGGAGGGGGAGAAAGAAGTGTTCTCTTCTAAGCATTCTTATGATCTGCATACATAAGGAATATCTCCTCTTTAGGCTACTTTGTCTGGGTTTTTTTTTAGTTTGTACTCTGCAAATTGAACTAGATTTATATGCAAATTGTGAGTCTTGTCTTACACATCTGTGACACAAACAGTTTAAATTTAACTGCTAACAGAGAAAGTGCAGCATTTTCTATGATGGAGCAAACAAACAGCAAAACAGAGATGAGTTATTGAAAAAAGAGAAAGATAAAGGTCTCAAAGTTTGCCGATCTAACAGAATAATGGCAATAAAGGATTACTTTATTCTGGAGAGTTTTTGCAGTATAACACAGAGCTTTTCCAAAATCAGAATATCTAACTTTGAACTTCGAAGCAATACAGAGCAAGTACAGAAGAAGGATTCATTACTGCAGGCTTCCAGGAAAGGCTGTAAGGAACCTGTAAAAGAAAATAATTTTAACACTGTATCACAGAGCTGTTCAGGGAAAAGTAAAACAGCTATTGACACATTCAGAAGGCTATAAATGCCTCACGTTGTGCAACTATTAGAACAGTGAAATAATTCCATTTATGCTGAGCACATGATGCAAAACTAAGGTAAAACTAGGAACGGAAAAAATGCCAGTTCCTAACAGTTCTGACACTAATGACTGTTGTATTAAAACAAGGCCTGTTCCCTTGAGAACAAAGGAAAACAGGAAACAGGACAATTTTAAACTCAAATGAAAGTTCTTATCTTGAACACATTTATTCAATGCTCATTTATCATGGTTCTCTCCTTTTGGTTGTGTGAGAGGAACACTCAGCCGCGCAGAGAGACTCACATGGAAATATTTTAAGCTGCTGCAAATCACACGGACAGGGAGAGTACATGTAGATGCTCATGTGGTACCTGACAGCCTTTCATTATCAAAATACTGTCACTGTACTCTGTTTCAAGAATGGGAAAATACTAATCGAGAGGTAAAAGTAGGAGCTGGACAAAAACATTTAAACATCAACAAAACTCCTTTAAAATAGAGGATGAGTTTTTAAGTCCCACTGTATACCATTTCCCTCTGTCCTCTGTTCCCTTGTTATCTCATTCTTGGTTCTAATATTACAGATTAATTTATAGCAAAACCATACAGAAAATAAGTAACAATTGATTTTTTTGATAAAATCATATAGCATATATCTTTCATATACCATAGGGCACTTACATTAGAAAAACACAGATGTGAGGAAAATATTTTAATGTTTAGAAAATGCTAAAAAGATTTTTATGTGTTAATAAGAAACTGCAATATGCAAATTACAGCATGAACCAATAAACACAGACATTAAAAAATTCTTCACACATACACTGAACACTGTAATTTATAAATAGAATGTCAAGATGCTTTTATGAGTACAAAGAGGACTGGATGTATCTTTTGGTCAGAATTTTCCCTTTCCTTGTCCAAGGACATACAATTTATTAAATATAACAAGTAGCCTTGGAGTGAATTGAAGGTTTTAATTTATTTCAGGAGGCTTACTGATACAAAATCAGAACAAATGCTGCAGAAAACTGTTAGGAATAGGGTTTAAAAAAAAAAAAAATCAACTAGACCTTCCTGTTAGGAAGATCTTTCAAAACCCGTATTTTTTGCAAAACAATGGCATGTCATTTAGGACACCAACAAATTATCCTTGCCACCCCCCAGATGCTGAGCACATCTTATCATGCACTATACTAAACAGAGAAGCCAACGCGATTTGCGGGCCTTTGCTGGTTTACACCACCAGATGAAGAGACTGGGAAACCCAAATGCCTTCAGGACAGATCAGAGAAGCTATGGCTACTTGTAACCTTCCCTCTCCTTTCAGTGGAAGTGCTTTTGGCGAATTAACTTAAAATAATGGATCCAACAGGCAGAATCCACAAAATATGTAATGGAATGTGTGGATAGAAACTATACAGATGCAGGATTATAGACTTTGGTAGCAAGGAGCCAACCCTGAAGCAATAAAAAGCAAGATGACAACTGATGTACTATGAAGTTTGGAAAAGGCAGGCAGACGTTTTGCGGTTTGCACAGCTGAAGTGTCCTCTATTCTCTACCCAAAGCAACACAGAACAATAATTATTCCAAAAGACATACATTATCAAGGAAATAAATGGTTATAAATTAATTTATTTATCTGTTCTACTTCCATGCTTCTTGCATTCTTTCTAGCATGTTCAATCCACCTGTGGTTTTATGGCTACTGTCCTCTCCCTTGTAGGACTATTTCCAGTTACAATGTCCTGTCTCAAAACTGTAACAGTAATAAATACAAAACAAGAATGAAAGTGAAGTAGAAATGTAAGCAGTAATCAGTAAAAAATATACTGAAAAAATGATAAGTACATATATATATGTCATTGTCAACTAGCAACTGCAGGTTACACCCACAAAAAAAAAAGTTGTAATAGAAAAGGAAAAAAAATTAGCAGGA